CATTTGAAAAGGAGCGGGATTGCATGGAGTCGCGTAGTCTGTCTTACCACCCAATCATTTGGAGATCAGTAGCGGGAAACCTGTAGACCTTTGTGTGTAAGGGTCACGAGGCACCTAGATGAACTCGAAAAACTGAAAGTATACCCCTCTAAGCGCCCACCACAAGCAATCTCATGGTAATCAGCAGTTTAGCGCAGGTATCACGATATCATCGAGAGGTCTACACAGTAGCCCGCAAGACATTAGAAGCGTTTCGGATTACATCAAAAACCCAAAAATTAATTGCAAAAAAGTGTGCACTGCCGCTACGAACGAGCTGGTCCCGGTCCCGGTCTCGTATTACTTAGCTCTATGTGGGTTCTGACCTAGGAATCGGGTCAGGTCAACTGTAAAAATGGGGCATTCTGGTATATGCATACCAGTAGGGCGCTGTGGGTGGTCTGCTCTCACTGTCTACCGAAGGCTATCAGGGCAAGCGTTAGCATAGTGTCTCTCCTGTCATCATCCCCGCTACCTTCTGCTGAATTAGGTCTTTGCATTAGATGCGGTGCTTGAGGTGCAGGTTGCAATGGTTTTTGTTCTTTTTAGACTCTGATGAAGGCGTTATCTTCAAACGTTACCCCACGAGTTCAATAAAGATCATTACAAGTTTTGATTACAGCTCAAATAATATAGCTGGAATTAGAGAAATGCCAAGATCCGTCGACAATCGAGTTTTAAGTCACAGGTCACGCATGTTAGAAAGACAAGATTCCGAAACGTAGGAAACACTGATTTGTAGCAGAATGGTTCATAGTGTCCATAGAAGTAACATGACATGCCGATGGAAAATCACATCTAATCGACATGTCGGAGGCTCTTAGGAAATAGATGTACGGCAAGGTGTCAAATCATCGCAATTTGCCTAGCTTCGTATTGGACTAATTGAATGTTGTACACAATGTCATCCATTTGATTTAACGCTAATTCTAACGCATTACTTCTACATCTCATCCGATCGTAGCATATTCCTTACCTTTTTGAACAAATTCTGAATTTTTGCTTCCATCGTAACGGAAGATTGTCGTTCGAAGTTGCAAAAATTAATCCGTATGTATGGACTTTGTAACATAATGCTCTTTGTCTTATCATCTAATTTTCAAAGCTTTACGCAACATTAAAAAGTCCCATGTGCTTTGAATTTTCACCTACAGTCAGATCGACAGCTTAATTAGGTAAAATTCCAAAATCACTCCACTTATCAGTGAAAATATTAGATGGTTCTGGCTTTCTCGCTATATAAACGCGGTTTAGTACGCTACTTTGTCCAGCTTTGTTTATTCTTCTTCAAGTTATAACTTAGCTGATAGAGTGCGTTTTTTCAGGCAGACTAACTGAAGAAAATGAGACTTTTGCTAGTTCTCTTAGCGGTGATTGTCTTGGCAGGGGGTCACGTCGCGTATTGGGACTTACCCTTTTGTGGTATGTGCAAAGATTTGGTCGGCAAATTGAAAGGACATGTTGAAGGAGGAGTTAGCGGTCTTACACAGGTTCTTCTTTGATTACAACACAGTGCATATATTGGGCGTTTTTTCGACGACTGAAGCATCACATGAGCATACTGTTCAAACAGCCTTATTCTAGTAACCAAGAATAAGCCATCCTTCAGTTTGCAACCAAGTTCTGTGACAACGTTCCCCTCGTTGCGGAAGGATGCAAGAGCATGGTAAAGGACAATATAGACAGAATTGCGGCAGAATTAAAGGTGAGTCAGCAATTGATATGCATCAATATTCATGTTCCCTGCGACGCGCACATAGCCAAGTAGTGTACAACTTTATGACTTGCGCTTTTGAATAACTCTGATTTTTTCAGAACAACGTCGAAACGGAAAAAATTTGCATTCATATGCAACTATGTTGGTAAATCCATATTCAGATCC